CAAAATAAAATTCTTTTGATACTTCTTGATGTAATCCAAAATTGAAAGTTAATAATCGTAATTTCTTCCTTCAAAATGAATTTGTAAATTTTCCTAGCTAATTTGGCATCCTGTCTAGTTATTCAGTTATTACGAAGCAAATGCCTCATTTACCTTGTAGAGACATTAGGATATTTATTCGAAGCCAGAAAGATGAAAAATTAGCAACCGCCTTCACCGGTTATCGAACGACAGACCTCTGGAATACCGGCCCAGCGTGCAGAACCACTACACCACGAAAGCACACTAGGAAGGTGGGATAAATACCTTATATACTCCCCCTTTTAAAGGGCGACTGGGGTTTTAGGGGACCCAATTACCAAATCCTGGGTGTCGAGAGGTATCATCCACAACCCTTTTAGTTCGGGGGCCACTGCAGAGACATTAGGACATTTTTTTCGAAGGCAGAGAGATAAAAAATTAGCACCGCCTTCGCCGGAAATCGAACCACGGACCTCTGGAATACCGGCCCAGCGTGCAGAACCACTACACCACGAAGGCACGCTAGGAAGGTGGGAGGAATACCTTAGAACCTCATCCTTGTACCGGCTGTTGTCAAAGATACCTTTGTCACTGAGCCAAATGTTCTTACATTTGGCTCAGTTGGTTTCATTTTGCTATAATCAGCAAATCATTTTATGTGTTTAAATTTATTCTTATTCTCCATGCCTATGATAGATAAGAAGTCAAGCAATAAGCATATTTCTAAAACAGTGTGGAAGGAAAGATTTTATAGCGTTTATATTGTGCACGTTTATAAGGTGTCTATTATACGATACTAGTACTGCAGTTTTTAAGAAATATTCAAATGATTACTTTTTTTTATTCAACCCTATGCATATATGCTGCGTACGTTAACGCAAATACAAATATTAATACAAAGTTTACAATCACAAATACACAAATACAAATTTAATTAAAATTTTGTATATTAATACAAATGTTCTTCTAAACTCTGAAGAACAAAATGCTTACATGATGAAAGTTATCATCAGCAGAGAGACAGCAAGCTGATTTACTAGGGCGATTTCTTTATCAAAAAAGCGACACCTCTCTTTTTTTTAAATTACTCATCTCTTAACAAACGGTAGAGACACTCTTTCAAAATAATGAATTAGAATATAAATCATATGATTCGTCTCCGAGCCATTTGGTTATGGGTATAAAAAATCAAAAACGAGCAATAAGGGCAATAATGTAATCCCCGCCATTATTGAAGAACTGAAAACGACTATATAAAAATGTATCATCTGTTGAAAGTAAATGAGACCTCTGAAATATCTAACCCTTCCCAGCTAACGATTCCTATGAAGACAGTGTTTCACAAACTTTCTGGAATCGAAGAGCTACTAAAATTCCGGCTTTAAATAAAGGGCAAAAAGAGGAAATATTTATCTATATTAAAGAACATAATTTAGTATTAAAATCAGAGTTGATTCTAATGACAGCAGTGAAAGGAAGAGACTATAGACTTCTACGCAACTTCAACAAGCCTTCGTGTTTCCAAAACTTGAATCAAATTATATCATTATCTATAAAAAATATTTTGCGTAAATGTAATAACGTTTCAACATGTAGTACAAAGAGGACAAATTATTAATCAAATCTGCAACTTTACCCTCAAAAAACAAAATTGCTGGTTATCTTGTATGACAGTTTTTATAAGCATATGGGAAGAGAAATTTGTTGAATTTTCGTCTCACGCGGGAATGGAATGGGCTCAAAAAACGAAGTCTTTAAGTGTTTTTAAATCATTATAAACAACATTCATTCTGGGCAATAGAATCTCTTCGAATAAAAGAGTTTCTGATGTCCAACATGGTATGTTTTTGACAACTCCAACTACATACATTAATAATAGATTCTTTATTCATTTAACAGCCAAATTTGCTGAATTAAACTTAAAAGTGAAAGATGGAGGTATTTGGAAGTTAATTTCTTCAAAACTGGAATTGCACCATTTAAATCTCATTTCATGAAAACAAATATTTTATTTCCCAACCTGGAAAGAACATTATTGGAAGTTTTTACTCTCAGGAATATTTCTACGGCTCACCTTATGAAGTTTTTTTCTTTTTTTTTTTGAACAGCTATTCATAAAATATTTGCATTATATCACACATTCTTATAAGAATTTACATTTAGATTTGAAAAAATTTCTTTGCTGAAATATAAGTAATATTTTTCACTAATATTTTCCTACTAACAAGCAAGAATGTATCTTGTAAAACTGAAATATATTTTCAAATTAATGAAGCGGAGTACATAAAAGTTATTAAATGCACTGTTAGTATTTTCCTTCTTCTCCCCTAGAGCAAAGCATTCTTCTAATTTAGTCGATGAGAATAGTTATTCTCATTTAGAAAATATGCTGCAAAAATGTAGTTATGTTAGCGAACGTTTTTTAAAATAAAAAATACTTCTGAGTCGTGTGTTAAGCAGTATTTATGGATATTCATTTAGACCAACGATTCCCAGACTTTTTCTTGCATCGATAACTTTAAAAAAAAAAAAAAAAAAAAAAAAAAAAACAGTTTTCTTCATCGCCCCCCTTACGTTTTTCTCTATAATACACAGCATACAGCGTAATAAAAATTAATAATAACTGCACATACATAAACTGAAAGATCACAATTCGAATCAATAAATATATTCACAATATGAACAGAAGTTTGAAAAAAATGGTTTATTATACTTCTGTTTTACTATTTTTATACTCTTCTTATTTTTAATTTTTAATTAAAAGTACAAAGAAGTTTTTAGACACAAAATTCACATATTGTAATAGCCAAAGTTTGATTTTCGTGAATGGAATGGCTGTGCTTAATGTATTGATGCGATTATTTGAATATTTGGCATAAAACTTCTTAATTCTTAAATAACCTAGTTCAGAAATATTCAACCCTTTCTTGTTTACCACAGTAAGTTACTGATTTGACTAAAGCGTGTTTCCAAAGTGTACAAAGAAGTAAAATTCAATAACGTTAAACCTCTCCTGCATAATAAATTCGTTTTCTTAAGTTTACATCATAAATTGCTGTATTCCTTTCCCGTGTAAATTAAACCCAAGACGTTTCGAACGTTTAGTTAAAACGTACATCTCTATCTGTTATGTAATATTTTACTGTTTGATTCTAATATAACAACTTAATAGCAACCAGTTAAAAATATTAAGTGCTAATGTATCAAGTTTAAATAAATTATGTTTTAGCTACAGCAAGATTTATTTAGCATATGATATAAAGCTTATGGCTTTGATATGTAACAAGTAAAATTTTTTAATTTATATAATTTGGAAAAAAATATATTTTAAATAGCTCCGTAGTTCAAATAACTCCTTTGATGCAGTTTATGCAGTTATGCAGTACATCTAATTTGGATGACGTTTTTTTAAGTTATTATTGGGTGAAATTCTGATAAAAGTTTAGCAGAATTATAATTTGTTTTTAAATTCAGTGATGAACTGCTTTTCGAGAAGCATTCTGAAACATAAGCATAAAAGTATTTTGAAATATAGACCTAAGTAAAATGTTTTGGTTAATGACAAACAGTACGACAAAATTTAATCGCTTCTGATAAGATACTCAGTTTATTAATTAATTTACTTATATTACCCTTTTTTCTTTGGTGTTTGTGTGTGTGTGTGTAAACAGAATTATTTGATACGAGTTTGTAAAGCTTTCTATTATCTTTAGAGAACGAGAGAATTTATGATTAGTTACGAAGCTCGCTAAAGTTTCAATAATTTACTGTATTCTGAATGTGAACCTTCTTGAACATTAATACTTTTTAAATATATATATATATGAAATCCGATAGTATGTTGTAACTTGAATTTTGGTTTATATTACTGTTTCTTCTGATAACTTTCAGCTCAAGAGATTATTCCTAAATCATGAAGGAAAGTAAAGCGGTGAGTTATGTTAAAGAACATGGTCTTACAAAGTGGAAAGAAATCTAATGTAACCGTTCTCAAGAGATCTGCTGCGTTGCACGGAACGAATTCATATATAATACAGGAGGACGCGTAATTTCAAGACAGAGCTTAACAGTCGGAATTGGTAAAGATTGTGCTAGTTAGGCGCTTACCGAAATAAAGTTTTATGCATTCTTCTTAAGTGCCGTTTTCAAGCGCAGGCGACATAGGCAGCCGTCTAGGGCATCTCAATGTTTTTCATACAATAAACAATTTGATAAACGTGTATTTCGGTTTGAAAATTATTAATATCCTGAATTTATACGGAGCACTATCTTTACTGATCGTATGAGCGTCGGAAATGGTGAAAATGGTCCTGCTGTTCTTTATGTAACTTCAGATTTTATAATCGTAGTTCATTAGAGATACTATTTGCAGTTATGCGTAATGTAAATAATACACAAATTCAGCTGTAAATTCGGAATTACAGAATAACGGAAAGATACAAATTTTTTTCAAATTTATCTTTAAGCTTATCAAGAATTTATGGATAAAAATACATCGTTTAAAAGAATTGAATGTACATCGTATAAAAATATATCGAAAGAAACTTTCTTTTCCCCCCGTCTACCTGTTTTTCTGAATTATAAAATATAAACGTTTTCCATCAAATTTGCAAAATCATTCCTTCGATATACAATCTATAATCTCGCGATCTATAATTTTATTTCTTCCAAACACCGTTTAAATAAGTGAATTTTATTCAATATAAATTACTAGCAAATACTATTCTTGCACCTGTGTTAGGCTTCCATCTGAAAATATACGCGGAAGAAGTTTTCTAAACTGCACCAAGAAGCTACTTTTTTAAATTTTACGTGATTCAAAATGAAGTAGTAAAAAAGTTATCCCATGACAAAGTTTCGCAACAAATTCCGAAACACTTTTGTTGCCTAATGAAAGTGGGTAACGGAGGCACCCCGCTGGTGGAATGAGACCGTCCAAAACTCAAGCGGACGCATCCTGAACCGCGCGAGATCAGACTCTCGCGACCGCAGCGCCCTCACTACCGGTCGATGAATACAGGCACGAGCAGACGAAGATACTTGAAATTCAGACTTCAAGAAAATATGCGGTGTCTCTCTCCCAAAGCTGTTCTGTGAGCATATGAAGACTCGGTTCTTCTGAAATGCTTCGAAACGCAATAGAACTGACAGACGACGCGATTCAGCTCCCAATGGGACACTTTTAGAACTCTGAGTAAAAGTAGAGCGAGGTGCGATGTGACAACAGCATCGACTGCAGTCGGTTTGACAGCAGAAAGTTGTGTAAAAGGGGTAGCAGCTGTTCCCTGTTTAGACAGCAACTTTTCTGTGCGTGTTCCCAGTGTTTTTCTTCCTTCCGTTTATCGGCCTGCGTTCGAATCTTTAATCTAGTTCAAGTAGTTAAATCGGAAACATTGTAACTGTGAAATCTGGCGAGCTCAATATATATTCAAAACAATCTTAACCCATTATATAATATTTTGAGTAATTCTTTCTTGTTGATTAACTTTCTGTGTATAACATTTATGATGATGATTTTATAAATGGTCACGGTTCTGCAACGCAGAAATCAGTTGATGGAAAGAAGGAAGACAGTTTTGCAAATATGAGCCTGACAGAACACAATTTGTATTTAGCGCAGTTTAGGGTTTGCGTGTCTTCAAGTACTTGCAAAGTAGCTATTTTATGCGAAGAATAAAAAAATACTGAAATTATGTAATGTTGGGGGACAATATATAATATGAATTTTGATAGAAATTATATATTTCTTTCTGCTTTTGCTTTAAAAAAAGGAAGTAATATATAAAAAATAAATTACAACAATAAAAAGTAGCTATTTATAATTTCGTAAAACAAAGGAACTTATTTCTTGTGATTTTTCTCCAATGCAATAAAAGTATATCTGATTTTGACTAATGCTTTGGAAAAAGATTCTATGACTGCAATTTTTCTATTATTTTAGACTTTAAAGGGTGGAATCCACACAGTTTTCAGCTAAAGATTATAAAGTAATTCGTATTTCTACAAATAAAAAGTATAATAAAGTAAAGACATTTTGACTGTGGTGACCACATTAGCAATAGAAAATGGGAGCAGTTACAGTCACAAGTTAAATAACTTTCCCCATAACTAGAAAACTTTGCTTCTCATCACACAGAAGGAAAATAGGTAAGAAAAAATAAACTATTGTTTTTTATATTTTATATTGTTACATTTTTATGTTATTATTCCAATTAGTGCTTTAGAATCACTGTTTATGAGTTATCAGTTATTAATGGCATTTAAGTAAAAAATGTTTTGTGTATTTTTAATCAGTGCCCCGAATTTATTTAACCCATTTGACGGGTTCCCTTCTGAATTTCTAGATATTAGGTTAAGCACGTCAGAATTATGTGAAGATCCATCTTCAACAATTATTTTTCCATTTTACATTGCTTTTCAGTCATATGCTTAAAATATTTTTTATCAATACTTACAAATTTTTACAAAATGAAAAACATATTTTCAGTACGTAGACATGCAACTTTTTCAGATTTTTCTTATGTTAAATTTCGATCGACATTTCCCAACTGAATAGATTAATATAGAAATAAAAATTGACTTTTTAAATCTGCAATAAAAACTGTCAAATGATCAGTTCTGATAAGCATTAAGTAAAATTTAATGCAATGTATTGTAGGTATTTATAATAATATTTTCAGGCAGTGAAGATCAGATATTATTTTGTTTGTAATAGAAGTGCATTATGTCATCTTATATGCTACAAAGTGCATAAATATTGTTAAAATTTTATCAAATTTATTGTAAAATAACAAGGAAACAAAAGTGAATTAACTAAGTTACTATTCTATTTAAATGTATTCTGTTTATGAACTGGCTTGGTAAAAATTTGCAAAATCTAAATGAGACACTTTTATGAAATATAGTCACCTTTTGAAGAGGCTTTTCCATTGCTTACTTTTAGAAACAGTTTACAATTTATCTTTTATTAGATGAAAATACTTCCTCATTTCGCGTCGCGTTGCGCGATGATAATAATGAGTTAACACCTTATTCATAGCAATTTTATTCCTAGATTCAAAGACAAAGTTTTAGATGTGTGGTTAATTTTTTTTTTTTTTTTTTTTTTTTTGTATTTATTGATTGTATCTGTCCGTATGAGATGTATAATTTTTAGCCTGTAATGCAGATCTTAAATTGCGAGTTACATCTCAGTTTCTGAGGTAAATCGTGGTGGAGCGCATCGGAGCCCTAAATAAAAGGGCTTCAGTATTTCTTTTATGGAAGTGAAACACAGTTTGAGCAGACACATTTTATTTAAAAAATAAGTATACCTCTAAAATTTATTATAACTTCCGAATTCATGCCTGTCTTTCTTTGGGCAACAAGCACTTTGAAAGAAATTAACACTTTTAAGAGAAAGAAAAGCCACCATCTGCATGTCAAAGGCTTATTTCTCTAAGTAATACAATAAATTTAAGAAAGCGGGTAAAATGTTTTTGTTCCCGAAAGTATGAACAGTGATTACCTTGGTCTTCACTGTCCAGTGCTAGTGACCTCTCACAGCAAAGCACCTGCAAACTTGAACTATTAAAAAATTGTCACTTATTCAGAGCTTAACTTGCTCTCATGTTGTCATCGGATCGGTTTCGAGGGAAAATTTTTTGTTCAATCGTATCCTGCTTGACAGTTAGAATTATATTGGAAGGGTACCGCGGTCAGAAAGCGTTAAACTCTTCTCTCTTTATTTTCGAACCTACAATTCTCCATTAAAATTTCTTTCCATATTCTCAGACTGTTTCTAGCATTCTCTGTATTTTCATTAGTGACGTTTTAATCATTTTACTTTTTTCCACTGGTATGCTGAAAAAGAAATAATACCCCCCCCCTATTGAAATAATATGCTATACTGTATATTTAGGGTCTAATGAGCTTTTTTGTAGTTTTTGTATGAAATTGTAAGTGGAATCAGAGCCCCAAAGAAGACGCGGTCGATGTTTCATTTCTTTTATTTAACTGTTTATCATTTATTTATTAAATTTTTATCTATATCTTTATTGAATTTTAATTTTAATTTAATTATTTTAATTATTAGTTATTTTATTTATTTATTTCTCCCCCTTCTTCCTGACGGTCTTTCAGAGGGCTCCGGCCTTTCTGATTTTAAAAATTAATCCCTGATATAATGAATATGCGAATTTTGTACTTAATGGTAGAAAATAAATAAGTATAATATTCATTCAAAATTCTTTTTTAATTTATAAAATATACATATCTATCGATGTTAAAATACTCCAAGATGGTAATGAAATGCACTAATAAAAATGTCACTTTAATTTATTTATACTTAAAGCGATCCTATTGCACTTCTTGCCTTTATACTTGTGAAGTATTTCACAGAAATTATTTATGATTTTTCTACTTCTGTTAAGTCTATAGTGTTTAATTCTAATACGTGTGAAGCAGAAATAGGCTAAATTACTGAAATTGTTAGTAATTTACCAGATCGCATAATCTGGTTTCGATATCGAAAACTGAGAAACAAAGTGAGAACAGGGAATATATGCTTTATATATTTTTAACAATAGGAAAAATTCAAATTGCATATTGAGAGAGTAGGACACGTTTGGTTTTCCTGAAAACCTAACTTGAATATCAGAGAATTTCCACTGTTTCTTAACGATGTCACGCATTATATGTTGAGCAAGTCCACTTGATTTAAATCAGGATCGGTGGACCGTTGTACGAATTTGCCTTCTCATTTTAGGTTCACGAGATTAATTCTGCGTGAACATCTATAAAGGAATGCCCCCTATCCCTGCATCCCTGATAAACCTAACATAGTATTGAAGTATCTTGGGCTTTAGGATTCTAACCTTGGACATATTGAGGTATTATCACGCGATGATATTACAAGCATACATGGTCAGTAGTGTATTAACGAACGCGTTGCATATCGAACCTCTTGCATAACGAACTTGCATTTGGCCTGAAAAGTATTCTGCATTACACACATGACTTGAATTCGTCACACATAAATAACCCGTAAACCACTGAACTAAATAATTTTTATTTTCTGAGTTAGCCAATGCAAAAATAAAGAAAATGCGTTTTGGTCCAGTAAACATATTTCTTTACATTATATTATCACTCAAGTATCATAATCTCTCCTTGGAGTGAAACATGAGAAAACACAGAATATGAACATGAATGACTGTCTTCTAATGAGAAAAACAGAAAATTTTCATGCCTAATCCACCCATGAAATAATGCCTACTAAAAGGCTTGTCATTCAACACGAAATGAACGAATTAACAGATCTGTTAAATGATGATGTTATGCGACGTCAGTATTTGCGGGTCGTTATGAAGAGAGGGAAGCAACCATTTTAGATAACATCTTAAAGCCTTGAACTTCTAAGAAATCTGAGCCAGATCTGTACGAGGGTCTGTAAGGTGGGCGTCTTAATACGCAAAACTGACCCCTTTGGCCCCCATATGTCATTCTATGGTCATTATTTAGGATTAATATGTGCCTACATGACGCCTGCGTAAAAATACCAATGTGCCGCCGCTGTAAACAAGCAAGTGTCCGCTATTCAAAAAAAAAAAAAAAAAAAAAAACGCCCCCAGAAAAAGAAAGAAAAAGGAGAGAGAGAAATGAGAAAAGCATCACACACATATACCTCCCCGTACAGAGAGAGGCAGACAGGTATATTTTTATTCTGAGGCATTATTACATGAGGATATATACTAAATCTACAATAATTATCGTATTCTGATAATAAAAAGAATTATCATTTAACGATCTCCTATATTAATTCTTCATAGCTTGCGAAAGCTTCTGGAAATACAGAGTTCGAATGAAAAGCTTTAAATCTCCGTTGATATGGCCAAATATCAACATAATATAATAATAACTGCAACTAATCTACCGCATTGTACTTTTTTCAGCATTTTAATAACTTTTTCTTGCTTAACGAAACCAGATCTCCCCTAATTTCTAAAATCTCCTGGTCCTTATTGCATAGCCCTAGATGACCACTTTGAAATAAATAGTTTTGAAGAAGAGCCATGTGCCACAGAGCGTGAACATTTTTCCAGTGGGCTTATCGCTTTTTAATATTCAGTTTGCTGAATCTTCTTTCCTTCTAGAAACACATTGCATAGCGCGTCACAATTCGTTTGAACTTCCCTTTACGATATGCACAAACCATGTGCATTTTTTCTTTAACCCCTTTAGCTACTCTTTTTCCGGTTGTGGGCATTTGGGTACTCTGTTCTGCCGGATTCATGCGGCTTGTTTTTAATGCACAGTTTCCAGCTGTTTTTATAACTCCCCCCCTGCGTAATTTTCGTGAGCTAGCAATGGGTAGCAACTCGTTTTTTTTGGCAGCGTCTTCTTTGGGACAATCCCCTCGCCAGTCGATCTTTTCAAAAATTTTTTCCGCCAATTTTTCTTATGATCGTTTTGCAATTGCTTTTTAAATTTTTTTGGGTTTCTTTTTTTTTTGAGGCCATCAGGAGTAGCTCGCGTGTCGGCTCGGGGCGGGGCTTGGCGGCGTTGGGTCGAGCGTTGCGCTCAGTCTGTGAGTCCGTGCTCGTGCTCGTCTGTGCTCCCGAGATACTGTGCGGTTTGAAATGTCTGCGTTAATTGAAAATCCCGCGAGTGCGAGGTGCGCTCAGTAATAAGTTTCTGACTGCAAAAAACGTAAACCGCTAGAATCTATCGGCGCTTCGTGAAGTGTAGGGACCATCTCACTGAAGGTGGTGGGTGGGTAAGATTTCAACTGGCCGCACCAATGTTCCGACGAAGATCGAAGTGGGAGAGCCCAGCCATATGAAAACTTCTCGAAAAGTCGATGCTAAGTCCGTGAAATCGCAATTCACTATAAGGAACTTTTTTGTTCCAAATTCGCGAAGTTTGTTTGCACGAATATCAGCGGAAAGCTGGTTACACGTTTGTGCAAGCGGATTCCAAAAATCTTGAAGAGGACCCAAAATCAGGCTGGCTGCGCGTGTTGACTTTTGGACGCTTACCATAAGGATGGTGACTCTTTACTCTCGCATCGTTACTTACGAAACTGGGTGAACATTGAACTGTGAAACGAAATTGCAATCAACCGGAAATTGCAATGCACTCAGTGGGGGCCTGGAAACAGTTTGCCA